TTGCATCCCATCGGAGGGACTCTCTTTTGTTTCACGAGACCCAGCTCTTTCCTCGGATTTTGTGGGGTGGCTCTTAAAAGAGCCTTTGGGGGGTTATTGTTTTGAAAGAGGAGGACCCGAGAGAAGCGCTCATTTCTCTGGCCGGGCCGCCTTCTTGGCCTTCGCCACCTTCGCCTTGGGCGTCTTGGGCTTAGGTTTGGGCTTCGCCGCCTTCGACTTGGCGGGGCTCTTGGCGGCCACTTTCTTGGCTTTCGGCTTCTTGGGGCTCTTGGCCGCCTTCTTGGCCCCTCCGGCGGGCTTCTTGGCCGCCTTGGCGCCCTTCTTGGCCCCTCCGGCGGCGGGCTTCTTGGCTTTCTTGGCGGCGGCCGAAGCCGGCTTCTTGGCGGCGGGCTTCTTGCCTTTGGCCGCAACGGGCCCCGCGGGCTTCTTCTTCTTGGCCGCCCCCGCTCCTGCCGCCTTGTCCTTGCCGCCCTCGGCCTGCTTCTTGTTGAGGCGGAAGGAGCCCGAGGCGCCGGTGCCCTTGGTCTGGACGAGGGTGCCTTTGCCGACGAGGCTCTTGAGGCCCAGCTTGATGCGGCTGTTGTTCTTCTCCACGTCGTAGCCGGCGGCCGCCAGCGCCTTCTTGAGGGCGGCCAGCGAGACCCCGCCGCGCTCCTTGGAGGCCGCCACTGCCTGGGTCAGCAGCTCCGTCACGCTGGGGCCCGACGGCTTGCGCGCCTTGGCCGCCGCCTTCTTCGCCTTCTTGGCGGGGGCCTTGACGGCCGGCAGGGCAGCCACAGGCGCCGCGGGGACCTCTTCAGCGGCGAGAGAAAAAAACTCACGACGCGACGCTCCAGGAAGCAGAGACTGAATGGAGCCGAGTGGGGGAGCCCCCGGCTATTTATAGGGGAGGAGCCGCGCTCTGATTGGCTGGTTCGGCGCAGGTCGTTCTGACAGCCCGAGCGGGGCTCCCGGGCTTTGCAAACTTTTTGTGTTTCTTCGCCTGCACGAAGCGCCCCGTTAATCGAGATCCCTCGCACCGATCCAGCTCCTTGCAGGCGGGATCGAGCGGGGGGACGGTGGACTTCCGAGGACCCGGTTTTCACGTTCAGGGCTAGCAAGACGAGTCTGGCAAAGACCACGAAACTCAACCTCTTCCCTCTCTTTCTGCCCGCAAGTCTGCAAATCTTTGTTTTTCACTGAAAATAGCAAAAGGTCCTTTTAATAAACTCAGGGACAGGGTCGTGAATCCGATACTCTAGAGGGTCTACTACTCGGCAGTGAAGAAAGAGAAGGGTTTCGGCTGGTCAATTTGCTGCAATCGTTGGTTTAATGGAGTCAAGTAACACATCTGGCCAAAAGCTTCCATCTCAATTGATATAAACTGCAATTATTATTTCAGCCCGAGAAAACCAGCGAAAATGGGATATATCGAGATTATGGGTATTTCAGATACTGTAGACCGCTTTCCAATGAGGCAGGACATTTTCATATAGATTTTTTTAAAAAAAACCCATCTTGTTTGAATTTTTCTCAAAGTCCTCTCCTATCAGAGAGACTTCTGTGGATTCTCCTAATGCAATTGAGGGAAGCCTCTAGAGCTGCAATTTGACCGATTAAATATAGAGATCAATATTCAAGGGTGTTTAGAAAGTAATGTAGGAATTTTAGATACTACCAAGAGAAGGAGTACATTTCTCCACCCCCTACCTAAACAGTAGCAGCCTTCTTTCCTGACAGTCTATGGACTGACAGTTTATGGACTTGGTAAACTAAGTTAAATCCAGGCACTATTTACCCAGTTCAAAGAAAGTAAATTCTTGATCTTGCCAAACGTAGGACAGGAGAAGTCTTTTAATGGTTTGGCAGATGGTTAAAGGGCACAAAGCAGTGGGCAAAGACCAATGACCATGTGAGATAGCCAAGCGAACTTTCATGATCCCTATTTATTCAACGCATTAAAAATAAAAGACGGGTTTTATTTTATTTATTTATATTCATTTACTTAAAATATGCACAGCCGGACTCTCTCCTGGAGAGGACCCAAGGCAGCTCGCCATGTTAAAACAAAATTGAGAGAATGGACCTTAAGATGGCAAGGGAGATTCAAAACAAGGATAAAGAGATGGGAATTCGGTGATCCATGAATATATTATCCACATCCACATCCATGCTTTCCTGATCTCTTTTTCTCCTAAGAGGACAGCCAGGGGTCATCCAAGGAAGAAACATAGGAAAAGGCTGGCGGCTAGACTAGAGGTGACGTGCTGTTAAGTCGCCTCTGATTCATGGCAACCCAATGAATGAGCAACCTCTGAAAAGCCCTGCTCAGCTCTTGGAAATTCAACCCTGTGGCTTCCCTTCAGGGAGTCCGTCCATCTCATACTGGGGTCTTCCTCTTTTCCTGCTGCTGTCCACCTTTCCCAGCATGATTGTCTTTTCTAGAGAATCCTGCCTTCTCACGATGTGCCCAAAGCACATCTATATTTAGCATTATCATGGATTTCCCAAACTCATCAGGATACTTCCGTATCCATAAAGGAATAGTTACTTTGAGGTGAATATTGATCCTCAAACATGGGGTGGATGAAACCCTGCTGTTGGCGTTCTCAGAACTGATTTGTCAACTGGCAAAGATGTGGCGCTGCGATTTGCCCAGCCTTACCATTTACTGAGCAAAAAAAAAAAAAAAAAATCTGGCGTCAACCTTTTGTGCCATATTATGAACCTTAATGGGTTTGGAAGTGGAACTGGTGCATCGTCTTTGCTTTCCATGGAAATGCAGAGACATCGTTGTACTATGTTTCCAACAGTCACAGCAAATGTTTTCACCGGGCGCATGTGAACTGCATTATGTGGGCCACATGCTGTCATTAGCCAACCTTGCCAGGGTTGTGAGGAAGGGTCAAGGCTTATGGGTGCATGTGCATGTTTCAAATATCAACTCATCCTGCAATATTATTGAACCACTATGTAAACTGGGTGTTGCAAATGAATAAAGCCCAAGAATCAGCCAGTAACGAGTCATGTCGGCTGTGAAATTCTGAGCACTACGAGAGTCCAGAGCAGTCTGCAAAATTTGCAGAACAAGGAACAACAAGGGGACCCAACAATGAATACGACAGGAGAGAACAGATGGGCTTGTAGAGAACCCTTGTAAAAGAAGAGAAGCCAAAGTAAGGGGAGTTACTCCCTTCCCCCAACCTGCCCATCCCAATTCCTGTCTTTTCTTTCACATCAAGCAACCCGTTCCCCAAAACACAAGCCCTGGACAGAACAGAAAGACCAAGCGCCTTTATTTGGGTACAGAATCAGATCCACAGAAATTGCACACAAATGCAGACGGCTGAAAGATTCCCACACACAAGCTCAAGTTACACCCATCAATGGGTTGGTGGTGGGCAGGGGAGGGATCCCTGGTTTTATACAAAAATAAAATCTCTATCAAAGAAAAAAAATACATAGTAAACATTTATTTGCCCCCAACTCCTTTTCAACCTGCTCTTGAAGTGCACTGTTCACAAGGGCAGTTCTTTGGAAACTGAGGCAGGGGACAGAAAGGGGTGACCACTGGATTATGATGTTGAGCGTCAGAGCTACCCATGAGCAGTCCTTCTCTAGGGACTTGCGTATTCTTTTTACACATACAGTATTCTTTTTTTTCCCAATGGCAACCTGATGGGGATTTGGACAGAGATACCCTGTTTAGTTACAATCAATGTCTTTCATGAGCTAAGCTAACAATCCCAAGATAGAATCCTTCCAGCATTTCAGAAGCAGGATGAGAAAAGGGCACGAGTAACATGGGGGGGAAAGCATTATACTGTTCTAAATCCAGTCCCTTCTAACACAACACACTCCCAAGGCACATGGGCTCATAATGTTTTTTCACCTCCGTGCGTGCGAACCTGAAATGTCTCTTAAAATGAGATATGTAAACACACACATGAAAATAAAAGCCGGGTGCCCCGAAGCAATAAATTTCAACTGAGAAGTTGGCTTTGAAGAGGGAAGCAGGTGGAGCAGCCACTGCCTGGAGGATTTTCCCTCGGTATGACGGGGAGAACATGGTTCTGGCAATGAAGAGCTAAAACCTAGTCTCCCGCAGAAAAAGCTTGTTTCAGAAAGGGATGGTGAGAAAATAGACTTCCGAGGGAATCAAGACTGGTTGCTTAAAATGTTTCTTTTTTCCAGTCCATGTAGACAGACACAGGTAAAAGAATAATCCATGTACTTCTAAATGAATTATATTTGAAAGGCCTGAAAAAGAAGCATTTTTCTCTGGGGAAATCATAAACCATCTGTTTGAAAGGGGCATTTTCTTTTATGCTCATAACTCGCATTTGTAAACCCAACCGGATGTCTCTCCAGGGGATTAAAAGCACACAAAATAGACAGGACAAGCCCGGCTTCTCATGAAATCATGGAAAGTGTTCTTTACAGTCGTCTTTGGACCCTCATCGTGCACCAGAGGCCACCTCAATACAGGATTTTGGGAGATAAGGCAAGAAAAAGAAGTACCATCAGCTGTTCTTCTAAATCCCACCTGAATAACCCTAAAACATTCACACATAACCTTTTGTTGGTGGTGATTGGACCGATTGATTGCATTGTCTCACATAACATGTGGAAGGTGTGTTGGCATTAACCATGGGGAGCCGGTCACTGACTAAGGGTGTCACACAACCCTGATGTCTTAAGAGAAGAGCTCCCACCCTTCATAGCCTCAGGATATTCCTGTAATGCATAGGAATATGCTCTCACATTTGCAATGATAATCATCACAGAACTGCTGAGCTGGAAGGGACCCTACAGATAAGAGGCCAGCTGAGCTGGAAGGGACCCTACAGATAAGAGTCAAGCCCATCAAGGAGGCACCGTGGGGGGAATCGAACTCCCAACCTCTGGGTTCGCAGCCAGAGATCTAAGCCATTGAGCTATCCAGCTGTTCTGAAGGAAGTCTGGGGTATAGGATTGTTTATAATGTCAGTGTGACACATACACTAGGGACTGCGCTAACAAAAAGTAAGCTGACATTCTCAGGGAGGTGTGACCTTGAAGTTGGGGAGCCAGTACTGAAATTCATCTAAAGCTTTTAACATATCTGCTCTTTTATGGGCCGGTCAAAGAGAGGCAACCAACGGAGTCTCCCAAAGGCTTGTTATCTCTTTGCTTCATTTCATGCACCAAAACGCAACCTTACAGGTAGCCTGACTTGCCTTGGAAAGACACACTCCGAGGATGCTTATTGTTATTTCCAAATCCCACCACTTAAGAGGCTCTTTGGAATCTCAGAAGTGCTCCAACACTGGAGGCATTCGAGAGAAAGTTGGACCACCCATCTGTCAGATCGCTTTGACTCGGATTCCTGCCTTGAGCAGGGAGGGGTTTGGACTTGAAGGCCTTAAGAGGCCCCTCTTCCCACTCTACCATTCTATGAAATGGGATGCCTTTTGTTTTAGGCAGGTTTCGTTTAATAGAGCTAAAAGTTTTAGCAGGAGAACTAGTAATTCATTTCTTAATTTGCTGTTAAGGCTCTGCCTCCCTCCCCCCCAAAATTAAAAGCAGCACAGTAGCCTTTAAATTGCTAACGCGTCTGGAAAAGACCGGGGAACCCATTTGTCAAGAGCACACCTTGGATAGGTAAAGATTTCCATCCATTCCCGAGAGGTGCAAAGGTGGTGGCTGGTGAAATTCTCTAAATGGAGAATTTCCGAGAGCAAAAGGAACAGAAAAGCAGAACCATCCCCAGCGGTGAAGACACACTGACCGAGGGACTGTGGCAGGAACTTGGGCGCCATGGAGGGAGAGACGGGAAGGTGTAGCCGCAAGCGATCGGGCTCAGCGAAAGATTCTCTACCCCTCACAAATCCCGAGACGGGACTCAAAAGCTGCACTCCTTGGGGAGCCAAACTGCCAAATGCCAACCTGTGCCACAGATCACACGCTGTATTTTTAGAACCCAAGCGGGGCGTGTAAATAGTGCAAAGACATGGCTGAATGCGGATTCCAAAAGAGATAGGCGGCGGGGGGGAGAATTCTGAACAGATTGGGGCCAACGCCTTTTCCCCTTTTGCAATTTCAGGGTGGCAGACAAAGGAAGGAGGGGTGCACTTTTGATCCTCTCATGAGGATGTTTTATTAAAAGGAATGTTTTGTGAAAACAGATCCCTCTTGCGGCAAGGAAGAGAGTCGGGCTGCACAGATACAAAGGGAAATGTGCAGAACGTTTTTGGGCCCATCGGATTTTTGGAGGGGGGGCAGAAGGCAAAGGCCGCCCTGCACAGACAAGCAGCAGCCTATTCCAAAGGCACAGACACTCTGCGAAAAGAGGACAGCTTCCTGGGGGAATGGCATGAGAACAGGTGAGGGAGAGGGGTGACATCGGGGTTTCCCTTAGAGAAGCCAGAGTCGGAGGAAAAGGGAAATAACATCCTAGTCCCCCTCTGCTGAATTCCTGTTCTTCTTCCGCCTCCTTGATGTCTGGGGTCCAGGGGGTACTTCACAGGTAGTAACTGAAAGATTGTTCACACAACTAGCAAGGGAAAAACCTCCCACTCTGGCAAGCTCTCCAAAGGAAAGGGTAGAGGAGGGGAAAACCTACAAAGGGCATCTCAGCGTGAAGTGTCTCCTTTTGTAGGTTTGTTTTATTATCATCATCATCATCATCATCAGTGCTGCAAACAGCCCTCTCTTCAAGAGCACAGTTGCAGATCAGTAAAAAATAATAATAATGGTAACACCATCAAATGACCGTTCTGCAAAAATAAATACATAAAAACTCAGGTCCTCCAACCCAATGTCATGGGTCATCAGGGTCCATGGGTTCTCAATAAGGCAGTAAAGACTGGGGCAGCTCTTCCAGTTTGGAGCGGACCGTGGGCAGGCAGGAAAGGACGTTCGGTATTCCCAGGAGACAGGCCCAACCCAGTCAGGGCCAGAGTTCCAAGGTGGGACGAAGCAGGCGGCCCCATGGCCCGTGGCTCTTTCACTTCCACCATGTCTTCTTTCTGTGGACCAAAGTGGCCAAGGCAGGCCCCCAACCCACAAGTCAAGCCGGCATTCCCTGCACGGACATGGAGCCACAGCGGGTGTCTGCCTCTGAGCCCCGCTGCCCAGCAGCGTCCCGGCTCAGGGCTAATGGAAGCAAGTCCAGCCTCCAGAACCGTATTCAGAGGTCCACGCCTGAGCGTTTAGCCAGAGTCCTCCACCGGCGGCTGCGTCTGGGGTGGCTGCACCACCACCGAGGTTTCCAGTCCAACCTGCGCTTCCTCCTCCACGTCCATTTCTAGGGGCAAGGCCGGCAGGCAGACCTGCCCCCCGCTGCTTTCCTCCATGGGCTCCAGCATGCCGTTCAGGTCCATGTCCTGGACCTCGATGTCATAGAGAGGGGCGACTTTGGAGGCAGGGTTGCTGCCGCAATCCACGCAGGCCTTTGGCACAAACGAAACGAAACAGAGAAGAGAGACCGGGGGGGGGGGCAGGTTTGAGTTCATTACTGCTTCCGAGTTTGGCACAGGGCACCCTTCTCATCTCTCTCTTCCTCGCACACAAAGTCTACCACCCAACCACCCTGAACTTAACCTATCTTGTTTGATCCCTGAAGCTAAAGAGGGGCTAGGCTTGGTTCGTACGTAGGTGGGAGACCAACAAGGAGCGCCAGGGACAGCTAGGAAGGAAGGAAGAAAACACCCTTGGAAAGCCACTGAGGCAGATCACTGGGCTAGAAGAATGAAGGGTCTCCCCTCAGTATAAGGTAGCTATCGATGTTCTCTCTGTCCAGTAGCCAGAGAGCCAGTTTTATCCCCTCCAGATTCCGGAGATCTCAAACAGTCTGACCTACTTAGACCAGTAGGGTCAAAACAACGAAAAAGTCAGATCCATATGGAATCATCAGAGCTTCCTTTCCTCTGCATGCCTAGGAGAACAGACTAGCCTGTACAGTGCAGGAAGGAAGTGAGAAACTCAAAGTACTCCAGATATTGATGGGACTCCAGCTTCTATTTATCCTAGTTAGTAGGGCTGATGTAGAGAGATGCTGGGAGTCCCCCCATCCGATTGGATCCATGCAAATACATGCTAACGGCGTAGGATGACATTTTGCTTTCTTCTTTCCCATATATGCACCCCAGAACTGCCGGTCTCTCATTTCTCTGGAGCACAATGGGGATACCTATGGGGCAGAGCAAGGTCCTCTGCGCAAAGATTCCTAGTCCAGCAGCATCCGGAGCACCACAGGGTTTCCCACCCTCGCATAGGGAGAAGATTCCCTGCCCACTCTATGAGACACGGATTGTTCCAGTTTCAACATCCTCTCTCTTCCCCGTCACTTTGCACTCCTTACCGTGATGTTGATTGCTTTGGGCAGGATTCCCTTGTGGACCCAGGGGTGCACTTCTGCCAGCTCCTTTTTCTGTTCCTCGGTAAACCGGGGTTGTCGCTTCTGCATATGCTTCAGCTTCTCCCGATCTTCCTGCAGCACCCTCTCCATGTCCCTGTGGAGCGGATGTGGGCAAATGGGTCAGGAATGGTTGCAAAGTTCTGTGTTCAAAAGCAGGAGGAGAACCCTCCTGGTGGGGATGCCAGATGCCACCCTGACTGTTTTGAGGGGGAACAAAATGATCACAGACAGTCAAATATACCTCTCTACATACCACGCCTGTCCGTCACCCATTCATTCAACCTGCCGTGAAAGCAGAGCCAAAAAAAAACCTAGCGCTGTGGTCGGCATTTCTTCAGACCACATTCCTACGCTGCAGCAGACGCTTCCGTTTTGCTGTCTTTCACGCCTTGAGCTCAGCTTCCACATCCAAGGCTCAACATCTTTCAAAATGCACTTTGCCTCATAGCTCAGGCTATCTGCACCCTAACCAGCCTCCAAGACGGGGGGCAGGGAACCTCAGGCCCTGGGGTCCCAAACTAGCCCTTCAAAGTCTTCGTAGGTGGCCACACTGTGACCTCCTCATTTGGAGTTTCCCAGTTTTCAAATAGTCCCCCCCCCACTTCAAAAGTCTGAAATGCCTTAGTCACTGGCCAGAAGAGCTGTTAAAATACTGCTGTATTTTGTGACCCCCAACCTTTTTGCCTTTGACCTCTAGCTGTCCATAGCATGTGGATCCCAAGAGACACACCTGGAAGTGCATTTGAGCCCTTGGCATGGAAAAAAAAATCCTCTTCCTTCGCTCTAAAGGACAGCTCTGTGACAAATCGAACACACCATCACCTCTGTGCCAACAGCAGCATTCCTGCCAGGGAGACATTCCGTATCTTGGAGGGCCAGGATTCTTAGTGAAGGGAAGGGAGAAGCCCCGGGAGGCTCTAATGGGCGAGTGCTGCTAAAAACCCCGAACCCTCCCCTCCCCTTCCAATAGGTTCACACTAACCCAAAGGCAAGAGCCATCTAGCCACAGAAGGGTGCCTGGGTCTCACCTTAAAGGGAGCTGGTAGGTCATCATAACCGTGTCGTCGGTGTTAGCCATGAGCAGCCAAATGGGATCCTGCAGGACGTACTTGATGAAGTGCTCGTTATCTTCCACCTCGGAGCACTTCTTGCCTCGCAGGTCGTTCTCGGAGGAGTCGATGCTGCCAAAGTACTTGCTGGTGTTGCTGCTCTTGCTGCTTGCTGGGGGGGAGGAGGAGCAGGAGGAAGAAACTCATCAAGTTCACAGACAGAAAACACACACACACCCAAACCCCCATGAGCCATTTCAGAAACTGGACTTACTGGTGCCGCTGGCAGAAGTGCTGCCTCCGTTGGAACCGGAGCCCATGGAGCCCGAGGCGGCCGAGCCGCTGCCCGAGGCGGCCGATCCCGTGCCAGAACGGGAGTCCTCCTGCAGGAGCAAATCGAGGAGGTCACTAGAGCTGGACAGGGCATCGTTGTTGGAAGAGTCGTGGGCTTCCACCTGCAAGGGGGCAGAAGAGCGGGCAAGGAGGAAGCGGGTGAGAGCAGGCCCCCCCAAAAAAGCAGGGACATTTCACATCTCTCATCACAACCCTGCGCACATTGTCGCCTCCAACTTCACAGTCCTATTTTTCCACCTCCGCAAGGAAGGGGGTAACAGGAGCGCAGTGCTTGACCATGCAAGGACTGCAGATTTTTTAAAAACGTGTTTACAGCTAGCATAATCACAGCCGCAGCTAGGAGTTCCCCGGTAGTCCCTGTATTCCTTTTGCTTTGCTGCTGAACCTCACAGGACTGGCCTGCCTCATCTTTTAGGGGATGAGGGAAGGTGGCCGAGGTGGCAGAGAAACATCCTTCCAGGACCACTGCTCCAGAGACCCACACACAGACATTTCCCTCCTGGCCTAACCCTTTTTTCTTGGGCAGAGAACAGTTATCAGTTCTCCTCAAACATCAGAAACTCTGCCTCCCAGGATGTAACATTTGGGAGCAAAAGGGATCTCTCCTGTTCTCTGGCAAAAGAAGAAACAACGCTCAGCAGGAACCAGTCCTGGGAAGAAGCCTTAACCCCTCCGGACCCCCAAGTTTGCCTTCGGAGCAAGACGGCAAATGTAAGACCTTCAACTAGCATCCTCTGCGTGTTTGGGTCTCTTTGTCCCCCTCCAGAAGTTATATCTCAACTTTGTGCCTAGCCTCTTCTCGTCTTTCATCCTTATTCTCGTTTAGAAAAAAAAAACATGAACCCATCTTCCAAAAGAGTAAAAAGCTAGGGCCTCAACAGTTTTAACGGCTGACATACATTCTGGTGGCCTCAAAATGGGGGCGGGGGGAGAACAGGTCAGTTTTCCAAGCCAAAGGCAAGAGAAAGCCCAAAAAATCTACAGATAGGGACGAATGGGTTCATCTCAGCTCATCCCTTTTGTTAAAGCCACGTGCTGCTCCCCTTCCCCTGCCTTCTCAGCCGATCACCAAGCCCTGCTTGCTTGCTTTTCCCACCTCCTCGGCTAATCTCCCAGTCAAGAGCAAAAGCACAGACTTCCCTGCCCTGCCCTTTTCTCTTGAGTGGCAGATCAGCCGAGAGGGCGGGGCAGAGGAGCCCAAGCTCTTGCCGGGACTGGAAGATCAGTTGAAGAGCGACTGGAAGCAAGCACGGGAGCGGCGGATTGAGCCAGAGGAGGCAAATTTGGGGAAACAGCAGCACCAGTGCTACTGCTTCTATGAACTGGGACAAACCAGTTCATGCCCGTTTCTATCCAGGACATCCGACCATCATCATCTTCCCCTGGATGTCCATAGCGCAGTTGCTTCTCGCACCCAAAGAAGGGGCATTTCACAGACCGGAACTTGCAAACCTCCCTTTTTCTGATTAAAAAAACCTCCAGCACTGCTACTAAGAGCCATTATCCAAAATTTTGACTTTCTCAACCTCTGGCTGAAAACACAGACTCCCTATACCTCAGGGCAGCAAAAGGGTTCCGCGGGGCATCCATTTCTCAGCTGAAGGAGAATCGGTGGAACTTACCATGCATGTTTCTTTCTGAGCGCCGAGTTCACTCGCCAGACCTTGCGCGCCATTCACAGCGGTCCACTCTGCAGGGGGTCCCACGGGTCCAGTCTGGCTGCCCACAGCTGCTTCTGGGCGGTCCGAGGACTTGGGCATCTCTTCCATTTGCAGCAGATTGAGCTGCAACGGGGAGCTACAGCGCGACTCAAAGAGCGGAGACTCCGCCCGCTCAGGCTGACTCGCAGAGTGAGGGGTGGAGGAGCGCGATGGCACCTGGGTGCCCGCTTCCGGCCCGGGCGTCGGTGCCACGCCGCCTGGCTGGGGGGTGAAAGGGAAGACAGGCCCGCTGGGGAAGTAGGGCTGAGGGAGAGGAGCGTTCATCTGCGGGAAAACGTAGTTGGGCAGGACGAGGGCCACCATGGGGGTGACCAGAGGAGAAGGGAACTGTGGGGCAGGCAGGGTGTTCTGGGAGGGCTCCGTCACTGGAGGGGCAGCAGGCCGAGGGGGGAAGACTGGAATGGGGTAGGTGGGCATAACGGCCGGGTAAGGCATGGTGGGGAGGCTAGCTTGGGAGGTGCCCGAGGGAGGCCAGGAAGAGGAGCCCGGGGCACAAGGAAGCGGCGGGGGAGCGGTCGAGTTCTGAGGGGAGCTGGTGCTCTCTGAAGACTTGTTCTGCTTGATCCGTTTGGCCTTGGACTTCCTGCTGCGCCCGTGACATCCTGGACCTCGGGCACCTTGGCGTGGTGGCCCTCTGTGCCCTGAAGAGCCAAAAGTTAAAAAAAAAAAAGACAGAATGAGTCTAAAGAGAAGCCCCTTCTTTTGCAAGACCCCCTGAACCCCCTCTCTCACACACACATAGGAAGAAAAGGAAAAGAAGTAAGCATGTGGATTATAAATAGAAATAAAATTCTGGCTCTTGGAATCCCTTCCTTGGTTCATTCAAAGACTACGAAGGAGAGAAGTTCTCCAGTTCTCCACAACTACTTCTTCAAGGTGAGCAGTCTTGCCAAATTTGCAGGGCCATTTGGGATGAGAAGCAAAAAGGTCCCAAAACCTGAACCAACTGCAAGAGCCATGGCTTTGAAAGGCAGACGGATTCACAGGATAAGTGTCTGCAGATTCCAGGTGCTTATTTTTTTTAAAAAAGTGTCAGGGGGATCCGTCTGGAGTTTTTAACCTTGCTTGCAAAGAATCTGCCCTGTCCCCTTGGGTGAGGCCTACAGGCCTCTTTTGGCAGCTTCAAGCAGAAGCAGGGAGATCCACCGAGCTGTCTTCATTGCAGCAAAATGGAAGAGTAACCAGAGAAGTTTTGCTCGGTTCTTGCATGCATGCAATGCACACAGCAGCGCTCCACACCAACCGCCAATTACCTCGCTCGGCCTGCGGCCCGGCACGGTGGGTATCCTGCCAGCTCATCCCTGAGAGTGAGTTGAAGACATGCAGCTGGCTGAGGTCCTTGAAGCGGGTGAGGAATGCCTGTTCTTCCTTTTGGGTGTGGATAGAGAGGATCTCCTTGGTCAATCCCACTTTGCGGTACTGCTGCTGCCGGTCTGGTGTCACGCTCGGGGGAGGACCTGGAGGTGTGGCACTGGGGGCTACCTCCTCCATCATGACAATATCTACAGGAGACACACAAAAGGAAGAGGAAAAGGTCAGCTCATCTCAAAATCTGCTCAAACATTCCTTGGTCTCCTCACCATGCCGTTTTACTTAGTTTACTGAAGCAGCTAAGAATTCTGATCTAAATTTATCTCTACACACATCACATGAATGTAAATACACAAAGAAAATTACAGGAAAAAGACATAATCATTTTAACATTTTGCATGAAGACAGAGAACTGTACAAGTGCACGCAGCATAGAAACCGCAATATGGTCTCCTAAAACACTTTTTTTGGCCAGATTTGATACATGCATTTTTTTCCCAAAGTCTCAGTCCAGAGAATATTTAGTTTCTTTAAATTTTCAACCCTTCCAACAGACTCGTATGGCCCATGTGCATGCCTGGGTATTGTTGCTTCCAGCTGACAATTGTAGGAAAGCAACCATAAAGCAGCAAGAGTTTTTTGAGAAATCACAGACGGTGGCTAATAAAAGGGACAAGTGATAGACACCCCCCCACACACACCAAAGATGCAGCCTGGCTGGAAAGGAACTCTATTACTTTCTCCACAAGAGAAGGAATCTAGGAAATCAATGTTAGAAAGAAGTGCTGTTTCATCCAGTTTTAAAGACTTGCTTCCCATGCAAAGTAAAAAGCACCAGACAGAATAAAGCTTTGTGAACAGTACCCAGTGGTGACTAGTTTAGCAACTCTGAAAATTTAAGACACAGACAGAAGACCCCTGCAGGGGCACAGGTGATGTGCAGAGAAGGTAGCTAGGCTGGGTTAAATTCAAAAGCAGGAATGAAAGATGTAAAGAACAGAGTCAGGCCAATGGAAAATCTGTCTGAACTCTACTGGATATTTTTGCATATTCAAAAGCAACAGGGCCAAAGAAATTAGCAGGGGGCGGACTTCGCTTTGCTTAAAGCCAATTCAATTAAAATTATAAAGCCCTGCTTCTTTCATCTCAGCCATCTGTGGGTTATAAAAACAAGCAATCTTGTCCAACATTAACAAATATCCCACTGGGAAGAGAGGGCACAGCAGTGGGAAATACTGAAGGCCAGAAGACCCCAAACTCTGGATGTGAAGGGATCCTGCAGAAGGCAGTGGTACAAAATCACAGCAAGTGCCCGAGAAGGTGGCTGTAACATAAAAGAGAAAAAAACGAGACAAAAAGCGCCCCGCCACTCTCCTGAAGGTGTTACAGCATGCCAACAGATTAGTACAGCAAAGAGATGGTTCTAAGATCCATCTTCTACTGGGAAAAGAGGGGTTTTCTTTTAAAAAACACATCTGATTCAAGGTGCAAAAGGCAAGGGCCCAAACCTCGGTTCGGCCACCAACCGTCTATCCAGCTTGTGGCTGGCAAAGGGACCTGGAGGCATTGTCCTCAAGCCTCAATGGTGTTCCAGCTCCGAATGGGCACTCGGGCTCTTGGCCACCTGAGGGCCGGTGACCTTGAGAGAGCTCCGAAGGAAGATAAAAAGAGGACAGGCAGGCATGTTAAGCCTGGCCTTGTTCTACAACTCTATGTGCACAAAAGAACCGCCATGACAATCAAGCAGTCGCGAGTTAGACAACATCCGTTGGGCCTTCTGGGACAACGAACCTTGTCATCTTGAACCCACTGCCATCCCCAGAGAGCAAAGAGAGTCACCTCAAAAGGGAACGGATTCCCCCCCCCCGTTTTTCCCTTCCACAAGACTCCCCCATCCACCCATTATGTCCTCCCCGAATAAGCCCACCCCACCTGTTTTCCCAGAAAAAAAACACAGCATCCACCTCCCATACCCGACTCGGGGGGCTTCTTGTCTCCCACGTGGACGATGGTACTGCTGAAGCTACACTGACTGGTCACAGAGACTACGCTTTCGGCTTTGCTAGGCAATGCCAGGGGGGTCAGCGGGCCTCCCACCACGGCAGCGGCTGCCGTCCCAGGCTCTTCCCTCTTTGGCTGGCTCTCCAGGTTTGGCAGGACTTCCTCCGGTGCATCTGTTCAGAAAGACAATGGCGGATTAGCATCGGGGAAGGGAAAGGAACCGGATAGCATGGTGGGGCGGGAGAATGTGGGAGCAGGGAAGGTCAAACGTGTCCAGAGTCTCCTCAAGGTGATGACCAGCAGGACGAGAAGAACATCAAGATGCTGAAGTCCGATACAGCTGGGACCTGGCCAGAACGCAACCAGCCCAGTGGGCACTACCAGGGGGGCATTTGCTCAGCGCAGGAAAGAGCACGTCTGGCTGATCGCCAGCATCAAGAGTCCTTCTAACAAGGAGAGGGAAGTTCAGCTTCCTAGAACAGACCGTGAACTTAGACCGCCCCATTCCTCCCCCTACAGCCTCACAGGCAGAACAAGATCTAGATTCCAGAGAAAAGGAGAACTAATAAACGTGAGTTTGTGCAGAAAGAGGATGGGAGCATCAATCTATTTCCCTTTATTGAGCATGTGGGAAGGGTTGAAACTAACACCTTGGGAAGGTATCAATTCCTAAAATCAGGGAATACATGGGTGGGGGGGTCGGAGGGAGGTACTCACCTTTGCCAGAACAGGTAGCCTCTTCACCAACTTTCTGCTTGTCGTCATCGGAATTTGACGACGTTGTATACGACGAGGAGCCACATTTTCGCTTCACACGGCTCGGGATATTGCAGTTCTCCAGATATCTGTGTCGGGGGAGATGTGGAATACGGTCAATTAGGAGAGATAAAGCCCATATGATTTTGGAGAAACTCAAAAAGGCTTCTCCATCTAATTCTTGCCCACACATTCTGCAGCCACCCAAACAGGGAGAAGTTGTGGGACTGGTGTCAAACAACGGAAGGGAAGGCCGACAAGACTGAGCATGCAAGTTTTAGAATTTCACAGAGTTCTTAACTTGATAAGCTATTAATGTCGGTGAAGAGTTCTGCAAAAACCTGAAGCTGCATACTGAAGCTGTACCACTTCACCTACCTCATACCTGTGAAGAAGGCCGCTAAAAAATTAATGTCTGAGAAAGGGGACTTGTCCACAAAAGCTCGTGTTAAAACAGAGCACTTAGTTCTTAAGGTACCACAATTTTGGGGGTCTTTGCTTTGTTTTGTTTTGTTTTTGCCAGACTTGTGGGCACAGACTAACAGGGTGACTTCTCCCCCGCCCCCCAAAAAAATCAATGGACGGCTTGTTTTTTTAAACGGCCGACCCCTTATGCCCGACTCAGTCTGGATCAACTCTACAAGCTCAGCGACTGAGATGCCTCACCTGATGATGCCATCCAGGCAGTTGATCTGCTGGTAGGAATAGTTGGAGGGTTCATTCATCACGGACTCCTCAGAAGCAGCTGCCTTTCCCGGCTGCCTCTCCAGGTCCTTTTGGGCCTCCACAGGCTGGAG